CTTTCACCAAGACATTCCAATCCAACCACAAGAATCTTGATGTCTAGCCTTCCCCAAGTTGCTTTCCACTCAAATCATCTTTCCACCATAGCCAAATCTGTGGGAGAGAGTTGAGTGTTGGGGAGACTATCATTTGAATCACAAGAGCAAGGAGTTCATCATCAACATGCCATCTATTACCGTTTGGAGAGTGGTGTCTCCTAGATTGGTTAGGTGTCACTTGGGAGCCTTCGTCAAGATTGTGGAGTTGAACCAAGGAGTTTGTAAGGGCAAGGAGATCGCCTACTTCGTGAAGATCTACCCAAGTGAGGCAAGTCCTTCGTGGGCGATGGCCATGGTGGGATAGACAAGGTTGCTTCTTCATGGACCCTTAGTGGGTGGAGCCCTCCGTGGACTCGCGCAACCGTTACCCTTCGTGGGTTGAAGTCTTCATCAACGTGGATGTACAATAGCACCATCTATCAGAACCACACCAAAAATCTCCGTGTCTACATTGCGTTTGCCTTTCCAAACCCCTCCATTTACCTTCATATGCAATATTTTACATTCCGCTGCTATACTCTTAGAATTGCATGTGTAGGTTGATTGCTTGACTTGTGATAAGTTGTTAAAATCTGCCAAGACTTAAAACTGGGAAATGCCTAGGTTTTTATTTGGTCAATTAGTCTAATCACCCCCCCCCCTCTAGACCATCCTACAAGAGCAATCGTCACAAGGGGTTGGACAAAATTTGTTCGCGCCTATGGTATGCACGAGGGCACATTATGGGCATTTCGCTTCTTCAACACCATCGGCGGCCAAAATGATTTACACTTCTCTCTTCACCTTTACCGCCTCTAAATATTGTGATTCATCATAGTTAATTGCTATCTAATCATGTAATTACTGAACATATTGTACTAAGAATTTAATTTATGAATTGGTTGTTGAACCATTGTGTTGAGAATTTGAATTCCATGTTTCATATTTCAAAATTTCCATTTCGAATAATAAGTTACAGGGAAGAATAAAATTAAACATGAGTGAATAAAATAATGTACACATGGTTAGAAAGAAAACAGTGTGTGCGATGGAAAATATAGAATAGACGGTTCTTTGACGTGAAACGTTTGCGATGCTCGACGGATGCACACACGGTTTTGTCTCATATGTGTGTGCTATTCATGGTAATACGGCAAATGTTTCAAACCTATATGCGTGTTTAATATTGGACAAAAAGAAGACGGTGCATATATGGAGCCCGTGTGTGATAGGAATACCTATCTCACACGGTGATTAAAATGGACACGTTGGCGATAGTAGAGGCACCGCACACATATTACATTTTTGAATTGTGTGCAATAACGTACTAATTGCAAACACATCGGTAAATTAAATGTTTGTGATATTGACCTTTTCCACACGACTATAGCAGCGTTATCATTTTGGGTGTCTCTGGGATCAGAAACGTAATGTCGAGACATAGGACAAGCGTGACTTCTCATACGTTTATTCTATGACAATCATCAGTAGCCGCTCGCCTATCCCCGATGATTTCTGGATCGTGTGAGAAGGACCCCCCCCTATCGCACACACTGACCAGGCGACGGTTTAAAATTACGTCACGGAAAGGGGTTAAAAGCGTTTGTATAGCACGTAACGGTACCAGTGGTGGGACCTTCTTGCTTCATAATTTTGCGAAGCTCGCGAACTATCGATGGGTTCCCAATCCCTCGACGTTTCCAGCTTAAGAAACTCAATATGACTGGCAGGCCTGCTCCGCAGCTGCTGCTGAATATTTAGAAGGGGGGTCAGTTTCTTCTTCTTTGGATCATGATCAGACCCGTTCCCATCAGGCTGAGACTCATCATTCTCATTAGGCAAAGTAATTGCACCATTTGTTATCACCGGGGTGCTTATACTCTCCTATAAACATGTGTCTGTTGAGGCCCACCCTTGTGTTTGTTTTGATGTTGGTTCCTCTTCTGGGGGACGTAACCTCAGCGTTAGCACTGTTCTGGGAGTTCGTCGACTTAGCCTCATGCCTACTTTGGTGTGTATTATGCTGATCACATGTAGAACTGTCTCCAAAACTCGTTTTCTTCCATTCTTCTGGTGCCCTCAGACTGCTTTTGAATGGAAGATTACCTTTCTCATCTCTAGTACCCGGGGTAGGGAAAACTATATCAGAGTGCCCTAGCCTGCCACATGAGAAACAAAAGTGAGGAGCATGCTAGTAGTGAATGTCATACCAATCCCCTGTTGTTTCTCAATGTTGAGTCAATTACAATCCATCTCCTCAAGGGTTTCCTCACGTCAACTGTAACTCGAGCCCTCAGGAAGCTGCCAATAGGATCAATCGGTACCACTTTGGCCTCCTTATCAATTTGCTATGTTATGGAAAGACCCCACGTATCGTTTCTTGCGTTGTAGGGAAGATTGATAAGTCTTGCACATAACTACAATTTATCAAATTTGGGCTCTGATGGGTGCATACACTCTTCAAATTGCTCCAGTATCACCGCATGTTTGCTCACATGCCATGGCGATCCATCCAAGACCCTATCTCTGTCCTGCTGGCTTTCAAATTCGGCCACGAAAATGTTTTCTCCCAGCGGGTGGACCACAAGGCCCCTAGGGTTTCCCCAAGCCAGGTGGAGTGCATTGGAGATTGTTTGTATATGAAATAGATTACGGTACAAGATCTTCCCCGCAACCAACCACTTGGTCTTCACTCCAATAGGAGCATCATCAATCACCAAGGGGTAGCCTCCTCCTCGGTGATATCCATCTTTCCCATCGTCGCCTCCATCTCCACTCGCGTGGAGCTGGATGATCATCCAGTGGCTCCCTTCCTGGCGCCAGAAGAGGAATGATTCATGCCTTCTTCGCCGATGCACTACGCCCCGACGTTGAGAAACAACAAGCTCCTTGGTGTTCACTCAAAACCCTAATCGCCTCTGTTGTCGCCGCCAGATGAGAGGGAGGGGTTTCAGAAAGATGTGTGATAGGCTTCGGTCGGCCGACCGAAATTTCGGTTGGTCATCGCACGGTCGTCTGATTTATCAAACCTGGGCCGTCTGATCTGCCCCTCTCCCGACTTGCATGCCTCCCCTTTCTTCCTTCTTCATCTACCCAACCACCCCACTTCCAATCCCCATCCCCCCTCATGGCACGTGTGACGATTACAAAAGAAACTTCGGCGACGCCGGCGCGCACCCCCATCGTGGGACACAGCAACATCGGCTTGAACCTCGCTGCTCGTAGCTTGCGCCGCCAAAATCGCCGGAATGCCGGCCCCAATCCTCGGCAACGCTCACTTCGACACCCCGAGACACAACAACACCGGCACGCCATTCTAGCACGGCTAAGCAATGGTTTCCAGCATGGCCCCACCACCGTAGCTCACTGGCATCACTGGCCGCAGTAAAAATGTTGGCATGCCCTTGTTGCTGGTTCCAGCATTTCAGCTCGCCGGTTGCAGCATCTCACACACCGGCCGTTGGCGCACCTACGTCACAGGAACCCAATTGATGTTGTTGTAGCATTCTCACTCTCTGGTTACAGCATTTAGAACAACGGTTGTAGCAAAATCGTCGCTGGCAGGATGCCATGGGTGCTGCTGTGGTAGCATTCCCACTCTCCAGTTCTGGAATTTCAGAACAATGTTTGTAGCAATTTGTCACCGCGGGATGCCATGGGTGCTACTGTTATAGCATTCTCACTCTCCCGTTCCAGCATCACCATTCACCAGTTCCAGCAATTCGGAGAGTCGGCTGTAGCAATCATCGCTAGGGATGCATGGGGTCATGCAGGTGCGCAACAAATTTTGTAGCCGGCTCCAGCAAAATTTTCCACCGGTGCCAGTATGACGCATTGCCGGTTCTAGCACGGGCCTCCCTGGACTTGCAGCAAAAATAGTGTCTCGTCTCGTCACCACGGCTCATCGCCGGTTCCACCATGGCAGCCTAAGCTTGTAGCACGGCCAAGGCATCGCCATGCATGAGGAGGACGACGGGGTGGAAGGCGCACTTGGCGAATGTGTCGTCGTGCCGAGGATGACGACCGGGATGGATGGCGCATGGCCATGGCGTCGCCGTGGCGCACGGCTATCGGCTAGCCGGTGTCGGAAGCTCGGATTCTTAGTAACCTCCATGGCCGTCGGGTTAGCAGCTCAAGGCCCACACTGTCCGGCTGAAAAAGGAAGAAGACGAGGACGACGGGATAAGGCTGTTGTGTGCGCGGGCCCATAGGGGGCGTCCTCGACCAACAAAAAAAGCAGCACGTGATGCGACCGGTCGAGTTTCAGCCGGTCGACTAATTACAAACGTTTCCCACGTGACACATGTGGTAAGCAATCCAAACAATTCAAAAAAGAAAATTACAAACATTTCACTTTCGGAAAAGACTTCGTGCCTATCCAGCTGCTCTTCAATTTATCAAGTCAAATCCCAAAAAAAAATCCAACCGGGATCAGATCCTGAATTTGTATGCCAGAAGGGTCAAAACACGAAATTTTGCCCCTCCGTATACTCTTTAACATAAGATTTGCTCTTGAATTAACACAAGCTACCAATCAATTCCGAGGCGGGCGAGGAGAGTAAAGGCAAGCAAACAACGAGGCGACGATTTGAAGTACTCCTACAATGAACGTGCAGCGTGTGATCCAAAAAGATGCCCCGACCTTTGCCTCCCCATTTTTTGTTTTAAATTAAAGTACCCTACCATATCCGCAGCGAGAGAGTCCGGTGAGAGAGGCGGCGGGACGCTCCAACCCCCAACGGTCGGCAGCGAGAGGAGACGAGAGGCCGAGAGACGCTCCACCAACCCGCCCAACGGTCGGCTGCCCCGAATTCAAAATCCGAACTTTTCGCCTTTAAATCCAGCCCCGACGCTCCATTCCTCAGGTTTCCCAATCGCACCTCCGCGCAGCCGCTCCAGCAAAGATTTCAGAGACCGAGGCCGACGAGGAGAGGTAGGTAGGTAGTTAAGGTAGGAGACGGACCCCGCCGCCGGCGAGCATGGACTTCCACGCGCTCCCCCGCCGCGACCTCCAGGCACTGGCCAAGCGCAACGGCGTCCGCGCCAACCTCAGCAACGCCGCCATCGCCGACGCCCTCGCCGCGCTCCCCGCGGTAAGTTCTTGGCCTTCGAGTCACCGTCTCGCGTCAGATCTGGGTCGGCGTCGGCTGGATTTGACTGAATCGCGGGTTTTGCCCTTGTAGGTCGACGGGATCGAGGAGTACGTCGAGCAGCCGGTCGTTGTCGAAGTGGCCAAGCCGGCGGTTCAGGCGGTCGTGGAGGAGGTGAAGAAGAAGAAGACGAAGAAGCAGGAGGCGGAGGAGAGGAAGAAGCAGGAGGCGGAGGAGAGGAAGAAGCAGGAGGCGGCGGAGGAGGCGAAGAGGAAGCAGGAGGAAGAAGAGGAGAAAAGGAAGCAGGAGGAAGAAGAGGAGAAAAGGAAGCAGGAGGAAGAAGAGGAGAAAAGGAAGCAGGGGGAGGAAGAAGAGAAAAGGAGGCAGGAGGAGGAGGAGGAGAAAGAGAAGAAGAGGAAGAAGCAGGAGGAGATCTCGCTGGAGGAGGTCATCTTACTGATGGACAGCGAGGAAGAGGGGGGAGAGAAAGCCCCAGCCGCCGGGCGCGGTCGTGGTCGCGGTCGCGGAAGAGGGCGAGGACGCGGTGCCGGCGGGCGCGCACGGGTCGAGCCTGTGGCTGCTCCGGCTACGAGGAGAAGGGCTGCGGCAAGTGAGACCGCGACGGAGGATGCACCTGCGGAGCCTGTGGCGGCTCCGGCTACGAGGAAAAGGGCTGCGGCAAGCAAGACCGAGACAGAGGATACCGCTGCGGAGGCCGTGCCGGCCCGTGCCACCCGCGCTCGGAGCCAAACGACGGCGGCGCCCGTCGCCGAGGAAGAGGCGCCCAAGACAAGACGGGCGTCGAGGCGGACCGCGGCGACCAACACTGGTCCGCAGCAGGAAGAAGAAGGAAAGGGGGCACAAGGTAATTTGCTTCAAATCTTTCCAAATCGATTCTCTGGTTCTGTTTAATTCTTGCCTAATTCTTTCCAAATCCATTTTCAAATCTTTAATTTTTGCCTAATTTCTTTCCAAATCTTTAATTCTTGCCTAATTCGATGATTCAGCTGTCGCCTCTGATATGGAAACTGCGGAAATGGAAGAAGATGCCACGAATACTCAGAACGAGGAGCGCAACGAGGTTGAGGAACAGAGCCATGACGACGAAGGTGAGACGGCCGGATCCCTCCACTTCAGTAGCAACTTGAAACTGATGCGTGTCCCAGGTTTTGTCCCGAACTATGTGTCTGATTCTCAGATCTGTAATCGCAGGGGTAGTCGTCGCGGATACACCAGCACAGGTGCAAGAAGAGCCACCGGTGGAGAAGGAGGAGGACGGTAGGCAAGAATCTCCTGCCGTTGGCGTCGGGCGGCGAGGTGCCAGACGACGCGCACGGCCCGAGCCTGTGGCGTCTCCGGCCACGAGGAAAAAGGCTGCAACAAGGAAGACCGTGACATGGGTTGACGCTCCGGCAGCCGAGGCCGTGCCGGCTCGGGCCACTCGTCGCGCTCAGAGCCAGAGCACGGTGGCTGAGGAGGCGCCCAAGGGAAGACGGGCGTCTAGGAAGACTGCTGCGCAGCAGGAAGAGGAAGGCCAGCAAGGTGAGAACAGCTTGATTTCCTCAAACAAATCAATTTGCTTGCGAATTTTGTTGGATTTATCGCCTGATGCGAATTTTGTTTGCGACCAGCCGTTGCCTCTGATGCGAAAGCTGCTGAGCCTGCGCCGGTTTCCTCCGACGAAGCAGCTGGTGATGTTGCAGAAATGGAGGAAGAAGCCACGAATCCGCAGGACCAGGTTGAGGAAGAAGAACCACCGGTGGAGAAGGAGGAGGATGTTGGGCAAGACCAGAACGAAGAGAAATCGCCTGCCGTTGCCGTGGGGCGGCGTGGTGCCCGCGGGCGCCCCCCACGGGCCGAGCCTGTGGCGGCTCCGGCTACGAGGAGAAGGGCCGCAACAAGCAAGACCGTGACAGAGGAGGCGCCCGCGGAGGCCGTGCCGGCTCGGACCACTCGTCGCGCTCGTAGCCAGGCCACGGTGGTTCCCGTGGCCGAGGAAGCCGTGCCCAAGACAAGACGGACGTCGAGGAGGGCTCCCACGAGGAAGACTGGTGGGCAGCAAGGCGAGGAAGAAGAGCAATGCCAGCAAGGTAAGAACGGTTTGCTTGCGTCCAATCAAATTTGCATGCTCTGTTAGATTTATGGCCTGATGCAAATTATGTTTGCAGCAGCTGTTGTCGAAACTGTTGCGCCTGCGCCGGTTTCCTCTGACGAGGGAGCTGACGATGCTGCAGCAATGGGAGCGGCCATGGATCCTCAGACTGAACAGCCAAACGAGCTAGTTGAGGAGCGGAACAAGCAGGAGGAACTTGCGACAGGTGATGATGCCCCTGAAAATGGAATTTGAAATCGTTCTGTAGCTGCAATGTCCTATCTGAAACTGATGATAATTTTGTTTGAAAAATCAGGTGATGATGTGGAAACTGATGTACCTGCTGTGCCCACTGAAGAAATGGAAAAGGAGGCCATGGATCTTCAGAACGAAGAGCAAAACAAGCTGGTTGAGGACCAGTGTCAGGAAGATGCAGGTGGTGTGGCTGATATGGAAACAGCACCCGTTTCCTCTGACAAGGAAGATGATGATACTGAAGAGATAGAAGAAGAGGCCGTGGATCCTGAGAACGGTGAGCAAAAGGAGCCACTAGTTGAGGAACAGAGCCAGGAAGAGGAACGTGAGACAGGTAATGTCCCTGATATGGAAATCGAAAGTTTAAATTGATGCGCGCCCCATATTTTCTGTTACTTGAAATTGATGTGTCTGACTGTCATATCTGAAATATATAAGAATGTTGTTTGCCAGCGCCTGATATGGAAACTGCTGTACCTGCACCGGCTTCCTCAGACGAGGCCATGCATCATCAGAACGAAGAGCAGAAGGAGCTACTGGTTGAGGAGCAGAGCCAGGAAGATGCAGGTGATGTGCCTGCTATGGAAACTGCACCGGTTTCCCCTGCCGAGGAAGATGGTGATGCTGAAGAAATAGAAGAAGAAGATGTGGAAACTGCACCGGTTTCTTCTGTAGAGGAAAATGATGATACTGAAGAAATAGAAGAAGAGCAGAGCCAGGAAGACGAAGGTGAGAGAGACTTCAGTAGCAACTTGAAATTAATAGGTCGTCTCCAATGTTTTTGGTTGTTGCAGCTTCCCGAAATCTGAATTTGATGAGAATTTTGTTTGCAATCAGGTGTGGTGGAAACTGCTGTGCACACACCGATTATTTCTTCAGAAGAGGGAGGCAGCGGTACTGAAGAAATAGAAGAAGAGGCCATGGACCTTCAAAGCGAGGAGCAAAACAAGCTTGTTGAGGAACAGAACCAGGAAGACGAAGGTGAGACAGGTGGATCCCTTCATTTCAGTAGCAACTTGTTCCACGTTTTTGTGTGGCTGCAATGCCCCGAATTGAAATTATAAACTGATGAGAATTTTCTTTGCAATCAAGGTTGCGTCCCTGACATGGAAACTGCTGCGCATGCGGTTTCCTCAGACGAGGGAAGTGATGATGGTACTGAAGAAATGGAAGAAGAGGCCATGGGTCCTCAGAACGAGGTGCAAAACGAGCTAGTTGAGGAACAAGCTAAGGCAGAAGAAGGTGAGACAAGTGTTTCCTCTGAAATTGATGCTTCTTCCATCTTTTCTGTAGCGCCGAATTATGTGTCTGACTCTCTGAAATTGCAGGGTTGTTTCATCAGGGTTGTTTCACGGGTGTACAGGCCAGTCCTGAACTAGTGGAAGAAGCAGCAGCACCAGTGGCAGAAGATTGCGGCACGGTTGTTTCATCAGTGGAAGAGCAGCAGGACGATGTCCAGCAGTGTGAGCAGTCTCCAGTGAATGTTGTTAACGAGGAAGGCCATTTTCCGGCTGAAACTGTCTCCAGCGAGGGGCCACTGGACATGGAGATTCATCATGGCGGTGAGGCCGAGGATCATCAGTTCACTGAAGAGACTGAAATGGTGCCCGTGGAAGCACCGGAATCCGGTGAGGCCACTGAGGAAGCTGAGGAGCATCAGTCCAGTGAAGAGACTGAAATGATGGTGCCCGTGGAAGAGACCACTGAGGAAGCTGAGGAGATTCAGCAGTCCAGTGAAGAGACTGAAATGGTGCCCGTTGAGGAAGCTGTGGAGGTTCATCAGTCCAGTGAAGAGACGGAAATGGTGCCCGTCGCCGAGTCGGCGGCTCAAGCCGCTGACGAAGCTGAGGAGATTCATCAGTCGAGTGAAGAGACCGAAATGGTGCCCGTGGACTCACCGGTGCCGCAGGAGGCTGCTGTGGAGGACCTGGAGGTTGGTTTCACCTGCCATGCAGACACCGCCATTGAGAAGGAGAATGAAGTGCCTCAGAGTGCAGCCAAAGCCAATGAGGAGAAGGAAGACCTGGCTGTTGAAGAGGAGGAGAATGAAGTGCTCTTTGGTGCTCTTTTCCAGAGTGCAGCCAAAACCAGTGAGTACAAGGATGTTGAAGAGTTGCAGCACGACATGGATGAGGCTACTGCAGAGGTCCTTGGTGCTCTGTTCCAGAGCGCAGCCAAAGCCAATCAGAACAAGGGAGATGTGGCTGTTGAAGAGGACAATGATGTGTCAATCCTTGCTGCTCTGTTCCAGAGCGCAGCCAAAACAAATGAGAGCAAGGAACAGCAACTGGTTGTTGATGAGGTGCACTATAACATGGATGAGTGTGCTGCAGAGGAGGAGAATGAGGAAGATATGGCTGTCTTTGGTGCCCTGTTTCAGAGCGCAGCCAAGTCCAGTGAGAACAAGGAACATCTGGTTGTTGATGAGTCTGTTGAGGAGAATGAGGTGCCATTCTTAGGTGCTCTGTTTCAGAGCGCAGCCAAGTGCAACGAGAACAAGGATCATCATCTGGTTGTTGGTGAGGCGCAGCATTACATGGATGATGCTGTTGAAGAGGAGGACAATGAAGTAGAAGCAACCTTTGGTGCTCTCCTTGAGAGCGCAGCCGAAGCCAGTGAGGAGGAGGAAGATATGGCTGTTGATGAGTTGCAGCATAACAAGTCTGTGGAAGAGGAGGAGAACGATGAAGACCGAACCACCTTGGCTGCTTGGCTGCTGCTTCACAGAGCAGCCAAGGCCCATGAAATCAAGGGAGAAGGTCTGATTGTTGATGACACAGAAGAGCCTGTTGAAGAGGAGCCAAAGATGGAGAGTGTTGAGGCCACTGTGACAGAGGAGAGTGGCATCACCGGTGAGCTGACAAATGTGCCCGTCGAGGAGGACGACGGCGGCGTGGTGGCCGCCGACGACATGCCACTCAGCTCAGCCACAATGTTTGAGGGCGCTGTACAAGTGGTCACCGTCGAGAACCTGTCGCAAGCCACTGTAACTGACGATGAGGGCGGCCTTGCAGATGTGTCCGTTGAAGAGGATAGAGTGGCGGCCACCATGGACGAGAAGGTGGAGGAGGTGCTCCTGTCGCAGGCCACGGTGACTGATGACGAGTGGGCAGCCAGGGAGTGTGCTTTTTCCACCGGTAACCTCACACCGGTGGTCGACACTGCCAAGGAAGTGGTGACCATCGACTACCTGTCGCAGGCCACCACAGTGACAGACGACGAATGGACAGTCAAGGAGAGTGCGGCATTCGCCGGTGACCGCTCGCCGGTGTTCGACGCTGCCGGAGACTGCAGCGGCCAGGTCATTTCCCCGCTGTTCGCAGGCCTGTTCGAGGATGCCACCAAGTTCCTGTCCATGGACTCAGTCACCGTGGAGGCAACAACGGTGCCTGAAGCTGCCGCTGAGAAGAACGTTACTGAGCCCGTGGCAATGGAAAAAGAGAAGGAAATGAAGGAGGAAGGCAATGAATCTGAAGCATTGGGCAGCCTGAGCCTGAGGAAGCTTAGGGTCCAGCTCAAGGAGAAGGCTGCAGTGGCACAAGACCTGGAGAAGAAGCCAGTGGATCAATTTTCCATCCACCCAATATTTGAAGTGAAGGAAGGGAAGAAGCCACTGGACACGCTTAGCCTGAGGAGGCTCAGGCTGAAGCTCAAGGAGAAGCTCAATGCTCAGAAGGTAACCACCAAATCAACTCCATCTATCTATATGTGCTACTCAAGTGTATGCTCAAGTGTATGTTTTTGTGTACTGACGATCTTGGCGTTTGAAATGCAGAACAGAGAGCCAACAACTAGGGCGCCCCTCGGCAGGCTGGACGAGAACTCGGCGTCCAAGTCGCAGAAGAGGGTGCCCCTCGGCAGGCTGGACCAGAATTCGGCGTCGAAAACGCAGAACAGAGAGCGGAGCAGGGTGCGCCTTGGCAGGCTCGACGAGAACGCGTGCTGATGATTGATTATCTAACTCGGAAGATTTGGTTGAGAAACCATGGTTTCTCCAACCCCCTTGATCCTATCTTATCTGCGTGCGTTCTTGTGCTGTTACTTTGCGCGTTCGCCGGCAGAGCGTGAGAAGATTTGGCTGTATTTTTTAGTCGACTCTTGTCGTGTTCTGAACTTGTATCGGAGTGATTGTTTTAGCTTACTTCTAAGTGGTGACAGTTACATATATCAGAGTGTTTGTTGCTTGTCTGATCTCTGTGTCACTCGACTCAACGTATCTGGCCACTTTCAGTTCAAAAAATGGAAGTAATGGATTGATAACATGGCCACCAGAGGTGCCTTGATTAAATCAGCGACCTAGCTGCACTACATACTTGGTGAGATTAGCCTATTCAGCGGTTTGAAGGTTCTTCAAACTTGATGAGATTCTTAGAACAGTTGTAGTTACAAATTTGCTAGGGCTCTCAGTCTACGATGGCCATGGTTCGAATTTGCTGGGGGCCAATGTCTTTCCGTTGGGATGGGGAATCCGTGACGGACCTTGACTTATTATTCTATATATACATTGAGTTGGAACCCAAAAGACATTGTTGGAGATGGTGCACGCCCCCTTTTTGGACTCCCCTTGGGAGCTTGGAAAGAGATGTCGTACACGCGCGCTCCTCCTCCTCCACTGCCTGCCTCGCCTCGTCACGCCTAGTAATGACGCGCGCGCGCCGCGGGTTGCAGGAATGAGCCGAGCCAACTGCCTGAGATGTTGGATCATGGGTTGTTCGCGGACTCGGTCATGGGCCTAAGCCCAAGCCCATCTATCCGACGGCCTATATAAGGAGACGCTGGTCTATGGAGTGAACCCTAACTTACGCACTCCCTCCTTGCACAACCCTAGCCGTCATCTACTGTTCCTCTCACTATGTTGCTTCCGGCGATCCCATCCCGACGACCACATGCACGGTCGGTCGGGAGAGCAGGTGCCTTCGGAACCCCGTCGTTCGAGATCCTGCCAAGAAAAAGGCCGCCGACGGCGCCCAGGCTGCTGCCACCACCGCCGCGTCGGCCTAGCCAACCGGAGGGTATGAGTCGTTCATCCCCAATTTGCTCGCTCATGTCAGGTCCAGCAATACTATGGATCCCTGAGAAGTCTGAAACTGTCAAACTGAACTGTAACTAACTGAAGAAACCACCCTCAGTCCATATTCAATTACCTTCTAGGGACGTCGTTTTCTCGCTTTACTTTCACCATGCTTTGCTTTAGCTAGTAACTATGTCTTCACTCAGTGTACCCTATAGCCACCGTCCATGAGAGGCGAGTTATAAGCTCCAAATGTACCACAAATAGTCTCATCTGTGTGTTTTGTTCTGAATTTGTTTCGTCAGGATCTTCAGTACCTGTCAAGTGCACGGCAATAGAAAGGGCACTTGCTCATTGTATAATTGGCAAATAAAAACTTTTTTTTCTATCTTGCAATGAAGTTCAATGTTTATATAAGGATTGCTTTCGGAAATGGGATGGATTCAGAAGTTCTGATGGCCTGGAGATTTTTACCGGGTGGATAGGCAAGTCCTCGCAAAACTAAACTGAAAGCCACGCATTCCTGAATAGTGAATAATAACCCTTCTGAAAACTGCAAGACAAACTGGCAAATTTGCGAAAGTGCTCTCCAAAGAATCTGAATACTGGAAACCCAGGTATGAATTCACATGACTGTCGCCTGTCGATGTCGAGGCGTCCCCACACTGCTGAATCATGCATGAGCTACATCTTTATTCAGAAATGCTGCCCGGCAGAAGGGTCGTCGAGGCTCTCGACCACACAACGATTCACATCAGAGACGCGTTGATCAAACACCTACCAGACATGACTGGTGGTTGTAGCAGATTTGCAGTGGTTTCTTGGAGTTCTGACATCTTGTCACATGCGAGTATCAGACAGTGTGTTCATAACTGATTAGCACAGTACTTTTTTTAGTGGCAAATAAAACCTTTGTGCCAATAGCAGTGTTTGTAGCTGATTTTGCACTATGACTTTCTAAGTGATCTGTTAGTGTTATGACCTCGTGCCAGTGACACACTTTCATATCACTCAGTACTTGTTTTGGATCAGCAATGGCTCTGTAAGAAAAGCTGTTCTTCCTCCACTAATTCAGAACAGACCACTGGTGCTGGATTCAGAAGCTTCTGCCTCCTCCTCAAGCTAAACTGAACTCATGAATTCGTGAGCCACTCCAAAGAATTGTGAAACTGCATGGCCATCGATGTCGATGTCCCGCAGTCCAATCCAACAATTTAGAGCATGCGACACGTTGGTCAAACACCGGCCAAACGCAGTTTAGAGACAAGGTATTCAAGTCCCTGGCAAACCAAAACCAAGATCATCGGAAAATTTTGAAATGGAAGATCTCCAGTTTACAGGAATAAGCTCAGTTTCTATTAGAAGTATTTTATCTGATCTGCCCGACAATATGTTCGCTTTCATTTAGCTGATTTATATGGGTGCTCTGTTAGTGCTCCGCCGCTGTGTCAAACCATCAATTACATATTATTGCCAGTTTTTATAATTGATTAGCATGACATCTCCACATTGCCTTGGCAAATAAAGTATTTTCTGGTATCTGCAATGGCAGGTTCACTGCTGCTCTTCTACTACCACCTTCAGAAGAGATATCACGGAAGGATTCAGAATCTTTCTTTTTCGGCAAAAAGTCTGCACGCAAAATTCCCAAAAGTAAACTGGACACCCATCTGAATCGAATCTCAACACCGGATTCCACATGACTGTCCAACGTCGACGTCGAGGCGCCCCCACACTGCTGAATCATGAACGAACTCCATCTTAATTCAGAAATTCTGACCGGCAGATGTGTCCGGGCCACGGAAACAATTCAGATCATGAGAGACACGTTGATCAAACATCACCCAGATAAAATTCAGTCACGTTGTGTTCATGTCCCTGTCTATCAACACTGAATGCCTGACAGAGCATGAACGTCGTCTAGGAAGAACCACAACCAACGCAGGTGTGAATCCACATGACCCTCCCCGTCGAAGGCGCGCCACACGGCTGGGTCATGGACGCCATCTTTATTCAGGAATGCTGCCCGGCAGACGGGTCTGAACCACAGAAACAGTTCATGGCATGAGCAAACACGTCGATCAAACACCGTCCAAATAAAGTTCAGACACGTTATATTCAGGTCCACACCAATACAGAATGCCTGAGGGAGACTGCTTGCAAGTTGCACCCCAAAACCAACCCCCGAAGGCTGGGAGTACATCACAGCCACCAACACCATTTGTCATCGTCATCCCTCTTTTTTTTTTCTTTTTTTGGCTGGTTCTTGTTCTGAACTTTTATCAGTTACATGTTCGCAGCTGATTTGCACGAAGGTTCTCGTGCCATGGCCTGTTGTGTTAGCTGTGATTTCTGAGTGCTGAGATGGTGCCATAACAAGTCTTGTGTGTCCTCCCGAACCTAAGCTTGGAACACCGACCTAGTTATTTAGAACATTCTAAACTGTATCTCTGCAGTTGCAGTGGATACCACATGGTTGTAGAAACGCCGTAATTATTGGGAAAAGTTGGCGATGGCTTAGTCTCGACCACTAAAGATTCAGACCAGAGACGCGTTCATCAGACACGGGCCAAAATGTAATTCAGGTCCCTTTCAATACAGAATGCCAGCCTGACACAGACTGGTCTCATAAACCCCTCCCCCCTACAAAAAGAAAACATTGCCAATATCTCCAATTTGCAACATCAGGCTCACAAAAGACACATTCTAGAGTGCTAGAGTACTCGTAGCTGATTTGCCCAATGTATTCAGATATCATCACCTGTTGCTTATAGCTGATGTATGACTGCTTTTTTAGTTGTTGTCTGTGGCTGTGTCAAACAGGAGTACTGAATCAATTGTGTATTCATGTCAGCGTTTACAATTGATCAGCAAAGGCATGTGCTCATCGCATTTTGGCAAATAAAATCCTTTTTAGTGTCTGCAAAGAAGGTTCACTGACTCATGTGGCTCTTCTTCCACTACTTTCTAACTCTTTTTTTGTGTCTGCAAAACATACGCCCTTCTAAAATGAATCTCAACACTGGATACCCACGGAGAAAGAACATGAATCACATGGCTGTCGGCGTCGAGGCGCCCCACACAGCTGAACCATTAACACCATCTTTATTCGGAATGGCTGCCGAGCAGACGTGTCTCGACCGCACGACAATTCACAGCGTGAAAGACGTTGATCAAACACGGTTCAGATCACCAGAAAAAATAACGAGCTATAGCGCTGCTAATAGCACAAGGTATAGAGAATTGTCTCGCTAAATTAATCATCAGTGTGCAATGTCTCGTTAATAGCATATTTTCAGAGGCGAACCTATTTTGTATAGCGCGCTACTTTTTTTCCTTGATTCAGATGCAATTCGGCCACAAGGTGGCGTTCAAGTCACTGTCATGCTGAATGCCTGACAGAGAACGGCCCCAAAAGAGCAGAATTTGCAACATCAAGAGACGCAGCGGGTACCAAACACTTGCAATAGTACTGGTTCAAGACGGGGGTACATCACAGCAGCCAACAACATTACTGTCATCATCACCATCACACATCTTCTGCTCGCTCTTATTCCGGGCAGCAACACCGCATTACTACTACCGGTTCCGGTGCCTGCCATTGTCTGTACTTACTATAGCACGAGCACACCACTGTAGACTATAATTAGGTAGGTCGTCGAGCCCAGCTAAGCGGAGTGATAGAGATGTCGAGCTGGGCTATGGTCGACTGGTCGTCGCCGGCGATCAGGCGACGGGGGGCTTCTCGACGTCCTCGAGCGGGCGGAACCACACCTTCTGGTCCAGCACGGAGGGGCCGCCCTTGGCGGCGCTGGCCGGCGCGAGGCTGGCGGCCAGCTTGGGGTCGACCGCGGCGGGGCCGAAGACGCCGGTGGTTGGGTGAGGGCCCCAGTACTTGTCTGGGCTCCCGGCGCCGCCGATCACATCGTCCGGCA